CGCAGCTCTAGTTTTCTTATTTTATTTGGGTCTTTTCGGGCACACTTTTCAGCTAGTGTAGTTTTATGTGTGTGTTTTTTATTTTTTTCTTCGAATATTTTAATTTTCTTGGAGCTACAATCTACAATTTGGAGGCTTAATCTCGTCGTCGCATGAAAAATGGGCGAAACGCCTTTAGTGTCAATTTTATGTTATCGTTTGATTTATAATAATGCTGATAGACGTCGATGTTTTAATTGATTGCACTGGAGGAGAAAAAAGAGCATAACGTGTTTGCTGGCATTGTATCTTCCCCTCTCTCTCTCTCTCTCTCTCCCTCCCTCTCTCTCTCTCTCTCTCTCTCTCTCTTTCTCTCTTTCTCTCTCTCACTCACTATCTGTCTATATCTCTCTGTCCCTCATACACTCTCTTACATATAGAAAAGTTTGACAGCTTAAAGTTTGGAAATTTGAATTATCTTTAAGCTTTTATTAGTCTAATGAATCTAAGCTCTAGTACAGTGAGTTAAAAAAGTTTAAAAGTTTAATAACATTATTATTAACATAATATCGAATGATTTTGGATCCTGAGATTTGAATAGAGCTGGAGGAGCTGCAAGAGAGAGTAGCGTCTAATCTACATATTTATTACTTTAAACTTTGAAAGATTTCATTACTCTATTTATATATATTAAGAAAAATATAAAATACCTTTGGATGTAGAACAAGAACTCGATTTAAATATTGTGATGCATCCAGAGATTTTGTATATTTTTTTCTTCTTCTTTTCTATAGCCCCCCGGCGTCCGCCTACCGCATATTATTTGTTAATATTGCTTCTCATATGTTTATTTTATGGGACTTAAGTTCATGCCAGGCTGCATTGTTGCAAGCAAATCAAAATTCCAACACCTTTGGGTCATATCGAAGCCCACTTGGTACCTGGGAGCGTATTGAGTTTTATACATGCGTTCAATATGATTCATGGGCAATGCAAAACACAATGCCATAAACACGCCAGATTCATAAAGAGGAAAAACCGAAGCCGGCCAGGACAGAGACTCTGATGCGAAATGCGAAATACGATCTGAGATGGGGTCCATTAAGGTAGCGCATAAATAAGTTGGCAGCCTGCGCTGGGGCCCATTTCATTGCCCTGGCTAATAATGACAGCCTTATAAAGTTATAGGTAACAATGCGGAGGGAGCCATTGTATGTCGCGTGATAACTTCATTTTCATAGCTCGAAACGGATGAGCGGATGCCCAGATGCCCAGTTGGTCAGATGACCAGATACGCGGAACAGGCACAGCAGGATGCCTCCTCCCTCTTCATTGCTTAGAGGGGGCTGAGTTGGCGGCCTACACCAGAGGTCGGCGCTGTCAGCATATATCAAACTAAGCCTGATTAACTATCGAGCTTTGGTCATATTGTATTTTGGATGTGCTTACGCAAATGTGTGCCAAAACAGAAATCAAAAAGGGAAGAAAAAAAAGTTTAATAAAATAATCTGGATAGAGGAATTGGAATTCCTTAGAAACCTGTAGCTGATGTTCCAATGCGATATCGAAAATTTATGACTTCATTAAGGTAACAAGCTAATATGTTTTAAGCATCTCTCACCTGAAACCGAAACAGAAACGGAAACTGAAACTGGATTCGGTTCGGGTCAGGCGAATCGTTTAAGGAGTCGCCAGTTGCAGTTGTTGACCCATTTCAAATGGATTACCCACATAGCTGCATGCATAAATAGTTTGGACCACTAAACGCCTCACCTCGACGCTGTGGCAAAAAGATTTATGGCACTTCTTCCACCATTCAGCTCGGTCCCTCCCCCGTCCGTACGTCTATCCCTACCAATACAAGCCGAAGCCAAAGCAAATGCGTTCACAGTGTGTTCTAGCGAGGCTTTAACTTTTTACGATCGTCTTTGCCGTTAAAGGAACTCTTAGCCACGTTCAGCCAGCCAAGAGATCCCTTCAGCATTTCGTGAAAGTTGTTAACTTGTTGCGCTCTAATAAAACTACAATTACATGTAAATATGAGCATCCAGTGAAGCTAATGGAATCTCACAGCCTGGAATGTCCAATCATCCAGCACTTTAAAGCAATTTGCCAAGGATTCATTAAACTCGTGCAGCTCGCATGAATGCCACATAAAATTCAAGTACTAAGCAAAAACTGTGTACAGCTGGTGATCTAACTGTGTGACTAAGAATATAGAGAATATGTAATAGCCACTAGATTGCACGTAGAATTCAAAAAATTTTGTAAGCAAACATGAAGTGATATTTTCAAACAATACATTTTATCTATATTTAGTATCTAAAGATTAATCATTGGAACCTATTGTTATTCACCCCATTTCATAAAGCAGCCCAGCTATAAGGCTTTTGGATTATAACTTAGATATATGGAAATGCAAAATCAAATTGCTTCAAGCACAAATACAAATAAATGAAGTCTTAATTTCGGAGCATTAAAAATAGCTCGTTCCCCTTTTTGGCCGGCCCTAATACTGCGTATACTAAATCATTCGGACACAACAGGAGTCTCAAGCGAACTCACTTTTGTTGTTGTTGATAAAATTATTTAAAAAAAAAAAAAAAAAAAAAAAAAGTAAGCAAGCAACTTAAAACTGTCAACTTAGCGTTGATTAACGAGCTTATAGCATGTTTATTGTGCGATCTTTTTTTGGGCACATAATTCTCAATGTATGTTTTTTTTATTTATTTTTATTTTTAAGTTCGCATTAGGCTGTTACACTCCGGACAAGTACCACTGACAAGTCTTTTTACGATCGCTGCCTTAACGTCTAGGTCGCAGACGCTGGACGCTGGTAAAGTCCATTAAAGCCACACCTATGCTTTTCAACAGCAGCTGGCGCTTTGTGCGCATTTAGCGATTCTTATGACATTTTCCAATTAAATCTCTCAACTTAACTTCACTTAAAGGCTGTGCTGTGTGTGAATTGATAACAATTTGCTTAGGAAGAAACTGTTTCTTGTTTCGCTTTCGTGAGCTTTTTCGAAACGTGCCTATGACGCGCCAACACAGCAGCGACATCTACCGGTTAAACTTAGTTACAAAAAGAACAGCTGATCATGCTAATGGTCTGTAAATTTGTATGTTAATTTTAGTTACCGAACAACGGGTGATATATTTACTGATGCACAGTCAATTGGAGAAATATCCCGCCTAAAAATTTGTACTTTAATTTATTTAGACACTGACAAGACAGTAATTTAGATTAAGGTATATTCATTAAATATTATTTGGCGGACACCTTCAAATTACATGAACGTCCAAATGTATATCGTTATCGACTGGCCACCACAATATACCACACAATCTTTTATTTATCTTATCGGCGTTAAAGCGCAACGCACTTTGGCTAAATTTAATTTCAATTAAAAATTATTATTAAAATGGCTGTGTTACCACCTGATCCTGTGTTCAGTTTGCGTTCTCCGGAAATGGGCGCCGTGAACTCCTTGTGCTTCCACGAAAGCGAACGCTTGCTGGCAGGCACTTTCAAAGGCAAAGTATTTCTCTGGGATCTACAGGTGAGCGACAACAAAACAGTGCAATGTCAAAAATAACAGATTACATGCCAAAATCTTAGACAAATCGTTCAGCACTGAACTTCGAGGTGGGCACCGAGCCAATTACGAGTCTGCATCATACCAAAGAGCACCTGATCACACAAGAAAAGGGCGGCACGATTACTACGTTCTCCATCAGCAACAGCAGCTACGTCAAGGAGCGCAGCATACCAGGCAATCATTTGGGGTATTGCCGCACAGCCCTGCATATAAATGCCAACAACACCAATGAACAGTTACTCTTCTATCCGTGCGAGGAGGCGGCCATTGGGGTGCTGCACGTAACGGATCCAGCGGCGCCAACACAAATGCTCGTAGCGGATGATCCGCAAATGCCCAAGCTGGGCAGCGTCACCTGCTTCAAGCCGTTCGAGTGCGCGTCACAATTGTTTCTGCTCGCCGGGTACGAGTCAGGTCACTTTCTCACCTGGGATCTGAGCAGCGGCGTCATGATTGATGTTACGGAACTCGCGCCTGAGGCTCTTACTGTCGACTATGATCACATCACAAATCGAGGCATAGTTGGCAGCGCTTGTAAGCAGGCACTATGAGATATTAAAGCATCCAAAATAATATTAATTTCCCTTATCCCAGCCGATAAATTGACGACATTTAGTTATCAGAGGCAATCCATGCAACTGCAGCGCGGATCTGAGCTGTGCATCAAGAATCCTGGCGTCAATTGCGTACGCATTCGCGCAGATCAAAAGGTTTTTTCTAGCGCCGGCTGGGACGGACGCATACGCATCTTTTCGTGGAAGAGCCTACGACCGCTAGCCGTGCTGACGCAGCACAAGCAAGGCGGCGTCATGGACCTCGCCTACTCCCCGCAGCCGGTTTCCATGTGGAATGCACCCATCATGGCCGCCGCCGGCAGAGATGCGCAAATCTCGCTCTGGGACTTGTACAATTAGATCTTCACAGCAATCTGTCCTAGCAGGTTAAGTGTTACAGTTTCAACTCTTTTCTGCCAAACAGCTGTTCCACTGGCAGCGACTGACAATTCCTGGGCAACTCTAGAAATTAGTTATTATTTAAATAATTATATACGTATATATGTATATATATATATATATACATATATATATATACCCACATTTTTCATATACATCTGTAATTCTTCACTATATCCACTCCCTTTTAAAAATGTTATAGTTTTTAGGGCTTTGAGACTCCCAATGAATTAATCCCTAGACTCGATTCACATGAGATTTCTATTATATGAATTTGAAAAAAAAATAAATTAATAATTTAGCAAAATAACACATTTAGTTTCGAAATACTATACTAACATAATTCTATATTAGTTAGGCCATACGTCATTTAGCTTAAGATTCGCATTGATGGTTTTTTTTAGAGAGGATGTATACTTACTCAACGTATTGAATATGAATTATTGCAAGGGCCAATACATAGTACACTTTTCATTGTTTCACTCAATTTGTTCACATTTAATAGTGTCGTTAGTTAGTATAAATGTTTGTTTAAAAAATGTTCTTTAGCAGCCCAGCGAAAGGTGTAGAAAAATACATTTATGTGTAGCATATACAATATATATATTATATATATAGACAGATATTTAGATGAAGGAGGAGGTGGAGCTACTGGCTCAATTCGTGCAGTATGTGGGATAGAACGGCACTGGCCTCCACATTGCTGAAGGCCACATTGGCCAGATGGGGCTCGTAGCGCTTCAGGCTCCGCTTGGCCGTCAATGAGTAATTGACCAGATTCCGCAGGATCAGCGCAGCAGTGAGCCGTATGCTCTTCGTGACTGGACCCTCGTTCTCGTCCATCAGTTCCTTTGAGTTGAGAAAGTCAGCCGAGTGCCGCTTGATCGCCTGCAGAGCAGAGGTTCCCACAGCAGTGGCTGCAGTAGCAGGGGCAGCCGCCGTAGCTGCTGCAGGTGCGTTGGCACTGCCCACATTTCGCACTATGGTGACCGTTGGCTGGGCAGGCGACACATTATGAATACCCGTAGCCAGGCGGCGCTGCACGCTGGCTCGCAAGTCATCCAGCGCCAAGTGACGATCGACGAGGTGCGTCATCAGCGAGTAGCGCTTACGTGCTATGTTGTCGCACAGGCTGGGGCCACTGCCCCACTGGCAATAGATCTCGGCGCCTGGGTCCAAGTGGTCCGGACAGTGCACATTGCAGACGTGATGCTGCAGCTCATTGAGCGATTTGAACTTGCGACGCGGACAGTTGCGCCAATCGCAAATGAACAGCCAATTCACATCCACGGGCACAGCGCTCACAGTACTCACAGCTGCAGCGGCTGAGGGACTAGCATTGGTCACTGCACTCGTGGTCGATGCAGTTGCTGTGGTAACAACTGTTCCCGCTGCTGCTGATGGCAGCTGACTGGCAACTGTCGCAGCTGTGACTGCTGGTTGCTCTGCTGGCTTTGACTCGACTACTAATGTCGGCTTCTCCAGCTGCGCCTGCTGAGTGGGCTTCAGCACAGGCATTTGCACCGGATGCTGCTGAGCAGAAGCTGCCGCTGGCGTGGGCGGCGGCACTGGCTTCTTGGCAATGGGTATAGCCTGAGCTGGCTTCACCTTGGCCGCATCCGTAAGCTGCAGCGGGATTAAATTTGATTAGGACTGCTCATTGTAAATCAAGCTCAATATCAATCTTACCGCGATGGGCATCGATATCTTCTGCTGTATGATGGAGGGATGATGCTGCTGCTGCTGCTCCAGCACGTTGCGTATGTGCTGCTGTTGCTGCTGCAGGGCAGCGCCCACGGCTGAGGTGGCCCCCACTGGTGGCTGGGTGGTTATGATTGTCTGCGAGTTAAGCTGGCTCTGCTGCAGTGGGGCAGCCGTGACGGGCGTCTGGGTGATGAGCGTCGTTTCCTTGATGCCGCCGAGGAGCAGCTGCCGCTTCTCCGCGCCGGCTGCGGGACTCGAGATGATGTGCTGCTGTATGATGGACTGATGCTGCTGCAGCTGAGGTATGGGCGCCGCCTTGCTGGCTACTATGCCGGTCCGATGCAGCTGCGCGGCCTGCGCTGGCTGCGGCTGATGCAGCTTTATGGTGGCTGGAATCTGATTCAGCTGAGAGAGCAGCGAGGGCGACATCTGGCCCGCTCCCAATGCGGCGGACACTGCACGCTGCGGATTTATAAAGATTTGCTGCTGCTGCTGCTGTTGCTGCTGGACCTGGGCGGCAGGACGCACCGCCGCCGCTGGCGCTGTGGTGGTTGTCACCAGCACCTGCTGCCCCTGCGCTGTCGTCATGATCACCTTCTGTGTGCCGGGCGCATTGCTAGCACTCACGCCCGGCGGCTGCTGCAGAATGATGATCGTCTTCGTCTGCTGCTGCGGCGTCTGGGTAACCAGCAGAGTGGGCGCGCCAGGTGCACTGGGCGAGGCTGCCACTGGCGCCGACTGCTGGGCCACCAAGTAGGTCTGACCCTGCTGATTGGTGGCCAGAACGTACTGCGTCTGCGTCGGCTGCTGCTGCTGCTGCTGCTGCTCCGTCTTCTGCTGCAGTATGACCGGCACCGTCTGCAGGCCTTGGTCCGTCTTGATGGTTGCCGTCGTGGCTAGTTTCAGCTGTGGTGGCGGCGCCGGCGCATTGCCAGCGGGAAAGATGAGCTGTCGCTGGGTCGGGTGCACCTTAGAGATTAGCTGCAATTGTTGCTGTTGTTGTTGTTGCTGTTGTAGTTGTTGCTGCGGCGCGGGCTGTTGCTCTTGACTGGAAGCAGCCAACGGCGGCACATCATCCAGATCCTCATCCTCCAGTATAGAGGCAGCCAAGTCCGCATAGAGATTGGCGGCATTCTTAGAGGGCGTCACCTGCGGGTCATCCTTCCCAGCGGGCGCGTTGCTGCCATCCAAGGCCAGCCGTTTGTTCTGCTCCTCATCGATGGTGAGCTTCCGCTTGGACTGTATGATTACTGTGCGTCCTTGCGCGTCCTTGGTCAACACGTTAGAGCCACTGAGAGGGGCGAGCGGCGGAGGCGCCGAGTCCGCCATTGGCTTCTTCTCCATGGGCAGCTGCGGATGCAGCGGCTTTATGGTGGTTTGGCCCACCTTCACAGGCGTGTGCTGCATCAGCGGATTATTGACGAACGCGCTGATTGCCGTGGAGGTCACTTTGATGGGCTGTCCGGCCGGCGAGCCAGTCGAGGATGCGGTGGTGGCCACTAGAGCGGGCGGCTGCGCCTGCGCCTTTTGCTTCAGCTGTCGCTCGTTGACTTTGTTCGCCAGCAGGCTCTTAATGACCGAGGAGCTGGGTGTGGGCGAGGCAAGGACATCCTCGCCCGATTCGCCGCTTGACGGGTCTGACTTGGGCGCCACAGTTGCTTCCTTCTTAGCAGCTATGGCGGCAGGTATTCCAGCGACTTTCTGCTGCTGCTGCTGGTGCTGCATGGGCAAGGGCTGTGCACGCATCCTTATGCCCACATAGTGTGTGCCGGGGAGTTCCGTTCCATCCATCTGTCGCACGATGGCGGGTCCGACGGTTGCATTGAAGATGAGGCGCACGAGACGCGGAAACTGCATCCGGTTGACCACCGAATGCTTGCCCGCCTTCTGGCAGTGCGACAGGTAAATGGTGTACAGCTCCTGTTGCTCCACGCGATAATCGTGTCCATTGCCGGCCCGCTCGTAATTGGCGCCTAGCCAGGTCAGCGCATAGGTTTCGTCTTCGTGGGTGAAGCTCTGCGGCGCAGATGGAGCAGCAGGCAGCGCTATCGTAGTGGCTGCAGTGGATGCTGGCGCAGGTGGAGCTGGTGCTTGTAGGGTGGGTGGTGGCGGAAGCTGCACCTGCGGCAGGCTGGGCACTGGCAGCTGCACTTGGGGCAGGCTGGGCATGGGCAGGGGCATATGCGCAGGTATGACAACAGGAGTAGCTACAGTTGCAGGAGCAGTTACTGGTGCGGGCGCTGGCACAGCCGCAGGCATCGAAACTGTCTCCGGCGGTGGGGGCAGCACTTGCACCTGGGTGGGTGTCGGCGGAGGCAGCGATGGGATCGGCGCGGACGGCTGCGGCTGCGATTGCGGTTGCGGTTGCGGCTGCTTGACCGTCATCAGCGGCGTCATCTGAGTGCTGGGCATGTTTTGGGACATTGTAGACAATATGTTGCCCGGCACCACCTCAACCACTCGCATCAATATGCAGCCCGCAGCGCCGTACGACTGCGCTTCAACAGTTAGCAGAGATACCAACTGATCCAGCAGCCCACGCACCTGCATCAGCATGGAGCATGGACGTGCGCCCAACGTGCTCAGCGCGTAAATCGCCTCCAGGGTGAAGATGAGCAGCATAACGTCCGTCAGCGACAGCAGCAGCATCACACGATGATAGAAGTCCAGCCCGAGACAGCGATTTATGTGCTGTGCATTGCCCTCGCGCCCGCACAGCTTGTAGAGGATCTCCAGACAGCTGATTATCACGGCACGGTCATTGGACTCGATGCCCTCGCACAGCGTGGCCAGCAAATTCCGCGACAGCTCGTCTGTGGCGGGATCGAGTAATTCGAACTGCTGCGCCAGATTCCCAGCCGTCTCCAAGGCCTGAATGTGGATGTTGCCTGAAGAAGACACGGAGAGGATGGGTTAGATGGTGACTACATGTCTATCTGATACACTTACTCCACCGCACATTGGCGCCCATGACCAGATATCGCCAAAGCGTGCGATTGGACGCAAGCAGCGTGACGTTCTCCTGATGGAAGCTCAAGCTCCTCAACAGCTGCACAATTTGCAGCACGCGCTGGCCAATGCGTTCCTCTGTTCCGTGGCTGCGGCGCAAATTTAGAAAGTCCAGCTCGAAGTCGAGCTCATCGGACTGGAACAGAGAGTCGTCGAACGGATTGCTGTCCTTGCTGATCAAACCGTTGTCCCGCCAGGCCTGCTCATCCGTATAGAGGTCTAGTATTTGAGGCTTGTCGAACAGCAAATCCCGCCAGAAATTAAGCTTAGAATGCTTCCGCACCAGCGTACCCCTATTATTGTGGCCGTGCTGGAAGAGCTGGCGCATGCTGTAGTCCGCATAGACACCCAGGTGAGCGAGCAGGACGTCCAGAAGCTTGGGGCACTCGGTCAGCTGCAGAGTGGAGCGTGGCTCGTTAGCCATCAGAGTGCACACGTTGATGGCAAAGTCTTGCTCGTTGGGCAGCGGCGATATGAGCGACAGCAGCAGCTTCTCGTAGCTGCTGTGCTTATGCAACTGTGTGGACATTTTGTACTGGCGACGCCGATCCGCATTCACCATATGCTGCCGCTGGTTATACGCCATGGGCACGGCCGTTAGCGTGGAGTGGCCCATGCCAAAGATGCTTCCCAGGCCACCGCCTGTCAAGCTGCCCCCTACACCGCCAATGGCCCCTCCGGCTAAGGCGCGGGAGCGCACTCGACTGGCGCTGGTGCCCAGTTCCACACACTCGATGGCCGCCTCCAAAGCTTCCAGCTTGTCCGGATCCTCGCCCAGAAAGTTGAGGCGCTCGTATTTGTCCAGATAGCGACGATAGATATGCTTGATGCCAGCGGTGCCGTTCACACAACGGTCCCGCAGCGTATCCAGCGCGCTGTACACCTCATCCCATTCGTCGCGCATGTTGACCTTATTGAAACCACCGCGTTCCGTGACCTCCTGATACAGTCGATATAAATCCACATGTTGGCCACTGATCTTGGCCGCCTGAGTCAGTGGGGTGCTGTTGGAATTCAGAATAAGAGCAAATGAGTAGACAAAATCTAGCACTAGCATGCCAGACACTCGCTTACCCGCGCCGCTCATGGAACTGATGCAAATCACGCCAGAATTCGTCCGGAGCACTCAGCTGCTGTTCTCCATCTCTAGGTGCTTCTGCAGCTTGTAACTTTTCGGGCGTTCCAAATATCGATTGTTGTTGTGCTTGTAGCTGTTGTTGCTGTATATTTCTCGCGCGCAAAGGGGTTCCCGCAGCGCCCAGTTTTGCCGGCGTCGACTCATTTTGCAGCGTGTTGTTGTTGTTGTTGTTGGCAGCACCAGGCGATGCTGCTGGCAGAGACTGAAGTAGCACGCGCACGCTATCAATGGACGTCATACTTTGGGCATTTAGTTCGAAAGGCAACACGAGTTGTACATTCTATAAACTAATACTGAGCGCACTCTCACTTATATTAGTTACAAAACTATAAAAACTCAACAATAAATACAACTAGAACGCGAAGACGACGCGCTTTTAGATGCAGGGTTGCAATTAAATTTTAACAAATGCTGTGCGGAAGCGAAACGATATATCGTGTCGTCGAGCAGGTAATCGATATATTGTTCAACTCCACTTATTGGCGGAATAGTATAAAAAATTTTTAAAATGTCATTATTGTATATAGAAGTATCCAGTTCAATTATCTGAATACTTAAAAATTACTTTTATAAATTTTATTAGCTAAGAAAAAGAATCATAATTATTATTAACGTATTGACGACTGATAACAAATTTTATAAATGTTTCTATTGATGCTTATAAATATTTATTCTTTCGTGAGCAAAGCTAATTTAATTTGAATTAACTAGTGACATTCAGTCAATTTTTTTTATTATTATTATTTTTTATTATAATAAAAACTAGATAATAATTATATATTTTTATTTTCTGTTGGTGGTTGGTCTAATTAACATTTGCACTGATTTTAGAGTTATGCTTTCTTGCCAACTCCACCACCAGATGCCATCCCATTTGTCCTCCTCATATTTCAAGTATATTCCGTTTAAATTTCTAAGTTTGAATTATGTAAAATAAATACGATTTGTGCTTTAATTAAGTTTATTCGAAATGATTTTTATTTTATACTTACGCTCTTGAGCATTGATTGTACCACCATCCGCCGCTTCGCTCTCTTGCGCAGTTATCGAAGCTCTGTTTGTCGTTATCCCGGTCAAATGTGGTGAATTTCATACCTCTTTCGAATTTGAGGGAATCACCTGCATCTCCCGAGAATCTTCCCAAAACTTTCAGCTGGTAAGCATCCTCTTCACTGCCTATACTGAAATTATTGTAGCGGGCAAAACGGGTTGTATCATTGAAATTTTCCAAATGTATGTACAGCTCATGTGGTCTGGAATTTGTCATTCTGTAGATTTTCTCCAATCCGATGAACAAATTTCCATCCAGATCACCAAAGCCATCCCTATATTCTTGCCAGCTTCGATTAAAGTCCACGGCATTATCCACACGTCTCTGAATTACCGTCCAGCCAGGACCTGCAATACGTCCGTCGCAAGGCACTGGAAACGGCTCAATCCCTGGAACTTTAATTTCAAATATATCTGAGGAGTTTCCAATGCTTATGCAACTTGATTCGTAAACTTTCGCTTGGATCTCTCGCTTGGAGTCCATTATCATGAGTGCCGCTGGACTCGACGAAAGATTCATCTTGCAAGTATCCAGCATTAAGTTATTGACTTGTAAAGTTGACTCTAAGGACTTTATTCGTTCATCCTTCATCTCTATTGACGTCCTGTAAGCTTCCAGTTGCTTTAACAATTCCAGAAGGTGTTTGCTTTCCCTCTCCAATGTGGATAGCAGATTTTCCACTTTATTCTTAATTGAGGACACGTCATCGTGGAGTTTTTCTTGGCTTTTGCACTGTTCGTCCTTATCCATTATCGTTCTTTCATAAGTTTTTTCCTTCAATTTCAAAATGGCCAACTGACTCTGCATGGCCATCATTTGCGCATTCTTTTTGTCACACGCTTCCAATTTCTGTTGCATTGTCACGGTGTTCCATAGGAAGACCTTTAAGCAATACTGCGCGCACTGGTTTTCTTGATTAGCCTATGTTTCAAATGGATGGATTTCACAATAGGTTCACTAAAAAGGAATCAACTTACCTGTTCATTTAAATTTTCATCGGAAAGGGAAATAGATACACTTAGAACAAATATTAGGAGCAAATGTAAATGCATAGCAATATTAGGCGTAGCTTTTTTTTTATGCACACACATCTTGCTTTCAGCAACCTAAATTATAAACTAATTGCATGATTCGAAATTATTTATGTATATGTATATACGCGCAAAATTATAAGCTGATGATAAGAATGTCGCATGGGTAATCACTTCTAGGCCAAATGTTATTTGTACATTATCAAATTATTACAATGGGTATATTATAGCTATAATGAAAAGTAATATAATGAAAAAAAGGATTTGGATTGATTGGATAAACTGTATTTTATGAATATAAAAAATTAAGTTATTAAACAAAACTTTCTGCTTTACATTGTCGTAAAAAGGTAATATGAAAGGAAAACAACATCTGAATAAACAAAATATTAGTTACGTATAAATTAAAATAAATATTGTTTATCGTTAATATATGTATATAAACTACTTTTTATTGTAGAAAATTTACCAGAGAAACCCATTTGAAAACCTGTGTTAGTTAACGTTAGATAAAACAAATAATATATGTAAATAATCGATAACAATTGATCGACAATAGACACATGTGCGCTCAGAGAGTTAAATAACACTTACATTTCAACTTTGTTTGATCAGAATATAAATTAAATTTGTATCAAGTTTTCAGTGTTTTTGATCAGACAGCGCAGTGAATAAATCAATCAACAATGAGTTTGCGGGCTTATGGTCTCCTCTTGAGGACGCGTCAAATGACCCGGGTGTGCCGGCAAGCGCATCGGACAGCGACCTTTGCCTTAAGCTTGCCTCTGCAGCAGCCGCAATCACCGAAAACAGGTGAGCGTTGAAATGAAGTTCGCAGAGCAGCATGATTGATGTGCCATTGTCTTGCAGCTCTGCCGCAACGTCGGCTTGCCACAGCTGCACCGGAATCTTCAAAATTGGACAAACATGAGTTCCAGGCAGAGACACGGCAATTGCTTGACATTGTCGCCCGATCCCTGTATTCGGACCACGAGGTGTTTGTGCGCGAGCTAATCTCGAATGCGAGCGATGCCTTGGAGAAGTTCCGGTACACGGCCCTAAGCACAACAAATGAAGGGCAGCTGGCGGCGAGAGATCGTCCACTAGAGATTCGCATCACCACGGACAAGCCGCAGATGCAGCTCATCATTCAGGACACCGGCATTGGCATGACCCGTGAGGAACTTGTCAACAACTTGGGCACCATTGCACGCAGCGGATCCAAGCAGTTCCTCGAGGAGCTCAAGCAGCAGCAGCAACCCGCCCAAGCCAGCTCGAATATAATCGGCCAATTCGGCGTGGGATTCTACTCCGCCTTTATAGTTGCCCAGCGCGTGGAGGTTTACACGCGAGCAGCCACTCCCGACGCGGTTGGCTTGTGCTGGTCCACAGACGGCAGCGGAACCTATACCATTAGGGAGGCAGAGGAGGCCGAGCACGGCACCAAGATCGTCCTCCACCTGAAGACCGACTGTCGCGAGTATGCGGACGAGGACCGCATCCGCACCGTGATCAAGAAGTACAGCAACTTTGTGGGCTCGCCCATTCTGCTGAACGGCAAGCAAGCAAACGAAATCAAGCCGCTGTGGCTAATGGACCCGCAGAGCATCTCTAAGGAGCAGCACCAAGACTTCTATCGCTTCATAAGCAACAGCTTCGATTCTCCACGCTTCACACTCCATTACAACGCAGATGTACCACTGAGCATCCATGCACTGCTTTACTTTCCGGAGGGAAAGCCTGGTCTGTTCGAGATGTCCCGCGACGGAGCCACGGGCGTCGCCCTGTACACGCGCAAAGTGCTGATCCAGTCCAAAACGGAGCACTTGCTGCCCAAGTGGCTGCGGTTTATCAAGGGCGTGGTCGACTCCGAGGACATTCCCCTGAATCTGAGCCGGGAACTGTTACAGAATAACAGCCTGATCCGCAAGCTATCCTCTGTTATCTCCAGTCGTGTCATCCGCTTTTTGCAGGAGCGCGCAAAGAAGCAGCCAGAGGAATATGAGGCTTTTTATCGCGACTATGGACTGTTTCTGAAGGAGGGCATTGTTACGTCCAGCGACACTTCGGAGAAGGAGGAAATCGCCAAGTTGTTGCGCTTCGAGTCGTCCAAATCGCCCTCTGGTCGCATCTCTCTGGACGATTACTACAAAGAAGTCAGTGCCGACCAGAAGGATATATACTACCTGGCGGCCCCTAATCGCATCCTTGCCGAATCCTCGCCCTACTACGAAAGCCTAAAGAAGCGAAACGAGCTCGTGCTCTTCTGCTATGAGCCCTACGATGAACTAGTGCTCATGCAGCTGGCACAGTACAAAAATAAGAAGCTGGTCTCCGTTGAGAAGGAGATGCGCAACCAGTCCCAGGACCCCGCTGCTCTGCAAGACTTTGGAGAGGGCAGCCTTAGTAGCACTGAAGTGGACAGCCTTCTGCCCTGGCTGCAAAGCCAGCTCAAGGGTCAGGTGGCTAAAGTAAAGGCTACCACGCGCCTGGACACACATCCCTGTGTCATCACCGTTGAAGAAATGGCCGCTGCGCGACATTTCATACGCACTCAGAGCCACCAGCTTCCCGAAGAGAATCGTTTTGCCTTACTTCAGCCAGAGCTGGAAATCAATCCAAAGTGAGTTTGCAATGTATATACCTAAGCTTTTTTTTATTTATCGGGTTTTTTTCCACAGACATCCCATCATAAAGAAATTGTTTTCCTTACGTACAAGCGAGCCAGAACTGGCGGAGCTGATCGCCAAGCAACTGTTTGCCAATGCGATGGTTGGCGCGGGCCTCGCGGAAGATCCTCGCATGTTGCTCACTAATATGAACTCGCTGTTATCTAAAGCTTTAGAAAAATACTAACGCAACACTAAAATAACTAAATTTTAAATATAAAAACTGTTACTTTTAATCAATTTTACGAAATATACCAAATACCAAAAAAATATGAAAATATTTTTATCTTCATAAAATACCAACGGAAATCACGTTCTGTCGCGGTGGTACATAACCAGTGCTGTAAGTCGACTATAACATCGATAAGACATGATACAGCAGCGCTGAAAACCGCCCCCGTGACTAAAGTTTATAAAAGAAAACGAAAACGCACCGTAGGAGTTCAGTGCCGTATCCAAAAGCAGAGCGTGCTTTAGTCGCATAGCAGCAGCAGCAGCCACCAATAAACCCGAAAGGCCAGCCACAGAAGCGAATTGCTTTAAATTAGATTTCTAATCACGTGAGTGAAAAAAAAACAATCGAGTCATGTGAGGCTTAATCGAAAAACATGATGTCAGGTAGTAACGATGCTGCTGCGACAACTTGCGAACTAAATACAAGCAAATTACATACAGAAAATTGCAAAAAAAAAAAGTCCTACCAAAAATTGGTACAATAGTATTTTCTGCCACGACACGCACACACACTCATGCAGACACGCAAATGGCAATGAATGGTCCATGTATGTATGTGTTGTAAAAGTGTGCGCGGTGAGAGAAATACAACTACATACATAAAAATTTGACTCAGTTTCAAAAGAATTTGCTTTAGAAATGGAATGTACTCTAAAGTATTGAAGATTGTGTTCGAAAACTAAGTTTGGAATAACTCATGTGACCGTGTGCATATGTGTAATTTTCCATAAAGTTTGTCATTGCCAATTGGACTTTTTTGAGCTCATTTTGTCATGCGCTCAAACGCACACACACAAATGCACATGACTTCGGCACACTAATGCAAAAGGGCTCTCAGAGACGCACTCAAAGTCTCGAGATAAAATTCAATAATTGTGAGCGAGCGGGCGAGCGTTTTTACTCTCTCGGCATGCTCACTCACAAATCGTACGTCGTCGTAGCAGCATTGTGGTTCGAAAAGTAGCGCAAGAAAATTTTTTATGTACATACATATATTGTATATGTAATAAAAATAATTTTTCAATTTTGCAAAGCAAAGCGCGCCGAAATAAAAGAAAATAAGCAAAGTGCAACAAACGAAAAGCATCAACAAAAAAACTCAATTCAAATTTTCATCTTGTAGCCCAAAACACACAACAAAAAACAAAGCAAAATGTCTTCAAGTACGAGCATCGACAATCCCATCTATGGCCCCTTCTTCGGTGTTATGGGCGCTGCATCCGCCATCATCTTCTCAGGTAAGTTTGTTCATCTACAAAATATCCTCCAAACGGCAGAACTTGTAGACAAAAGGGATACGCAGCGCTGCAGGCGTAGAAAAATCGAACATTGTATGGCGTAAACGCAAGAAGAAGAAAGAGCATCTAGTCAGCAAAAAAAGTACCTGTGTGTGTATGTACGTAGACATGTTTGTTGCTGAAGAAAGGCAGCAGGCGGTGGCGGCGGCAAGTGTACAAAAATTCAATACACTCTTAGTCGGACACATACATGCATACTTGTATAACCGCAGGCGTACATGTGTTTGTGTTGAGTTTTAGTTCGTTTGCAATGCGCGTGACTAGCGAAAAAGAGGGGAAAAGTTCCGCATTTTAGTCAGAATAGTTAGCCACATTATATTACATAAATTAAATTAAAATTTTGTATAGACGTTATGCGCATTTAATTGCTTTATTGCAAAACAAAAATGGCAGCATCGAAATTAGAAATTTTCAGCTTTTATTTTTTGAACATGCTAAAAACGGCATTACTCATACATACACAGCAAAAGCAGCCAGTGAGAGGCGTATAAATGCAAAGAGCATGAAGTGGAGAGCGAGAGAATTGCGCGCGCGCGCGCTCTTCTGCCTAGCATTCTCATTGTTCTCTCAATTATATGAGCGAGTGAAATTGAGTGCAAGAGTTACGAATTACATTTGAAGTTTGTGACGCGAAGCTTGCGACTTACCTTCTCACAAAGTCACAAGACCAACTTTTTGGTGTTGCCATACTGAAGTAGTTTTTCTTGCTACTTCTTTTCAATGAAAAGAGCGTAGCTGCAAGCATGGGGCTTCCGGAGATAAAAAACGGGTAGGCAAATGTTGATAATCAAGGGAGTGGAATGTAGAGGCTAATACGACATTTAATGCAATATTTTCATCACGGGAAATGTATTTTATGAATGAAGAACATAAAAATTACCATATAAATAGGTTAACTAACATGATTTTCAACTCATCTGATCACGATGTTCCCTGCGTAAACACATGATTAATCGCGCTGCATTGTTAGTTCTTAAAGCTCAATAGCAATCATCATAATAAAGCGTAATCACATGCCACTTCTTACCTCCTTCTTCTGCCTTATAAGCCTTTGCATGATCAATCGACTCGATGACCAGGAGGCATCACATGCCTAGGTTTCTTTTCTGTATAGCTTATCATCGAATACCATACAAGTATATTCCACCTACCTTAGCTGATAAGTAGCACGGGCTTATTTACCAATAACTTGACTGGTGATAAGATAAACGAGCCATGTTTTCTTTTCGAAAGCGAAGAAGAATAGAATTAAAGAGTAGCACGCGCCTTTTTACAAAGTAGCTCAATGCTAAATGTTTAAGATGGTTTTACAGTTATAGTTTTGTACATACAAAATTGATATTGTAACCTATTTAAAATATGTGGATAAATAAACAATGACATAATTATTATGTCATGCCTTAAATTCAGTCTTGTGATTTCCCCCTCTCTGAAAATAAAAACCACCAACAACTCAGAGTTTGCTTTGCTTTAATATTTACTTTGGTGATTAGCGTAGCGGTGCATATAAATTTCTAGATAGCGCTTAGACGTCTTTGTGACATGGCAACAATGATATCGCAACGATTATGTAATCAAAATCAACAACAGAATTCATGAGATTAAAATACAATAAAGTAGTGAAAAAATCTAATACTGTTTCAGCAAGTGAATTGCAAGCGGCTTGTATATATGTACAATGTCTGGCAACGCCATTACACGATCACAAGAAGAGAGGAAAAGAGCGAGCGAGTGAGTTTTAGCAGCACCCAAGCTGCCAGCTCGCTTTTATGATACACTGCAGTTGACTGATACAGCTCAAAAATTGTGATGGAATCTGACTCATTCGCAGTCAATATCGCACGCAATGGGCGTTGCTTTTTAAGCTTTTATCAGTGCACACTGTTATTTTTGTGCCCGATATTTCGATTTCAGAACATGCTTTACGCGCACAATGTACCCGACCCAATAAGCACACACAGTCAGACGCACACGCATATTTGCACCAACATCCACATACCTGCGCAAACTCAGTGTCAAAATAGTAGTAGATATTTTAATACGAAATATTAGTAAAGTATACATACACATGTGCGCAAGTACATGTTTTACATGTATTTTAATTATACAAAAACTTGTATGCAATGACACGTGCAAGATTTATGTTTACTGTTCAATGATTTGAAAACTAGCGAAAAAAAAAAATGAAAAAATTTCCATAGGAGAAGCTGCTTGAGTTTTGAGCGCAGTAACGACCCTGTTTTATCTGAGAGAGAGAGAGAATAAGAGAGTATAAAACGTGGCAAACTCAAAAGTTCGATAGTGTGCGTGTATGTTCTTACATACATACATATGTACATATCTGCTGCTCCATACTACAATAAATTAACTTCTAATTAATATGATCAATATACATACATATTAACTTGTATTCGCGCACATCCTGCACTGGCTATTATCTAATCAATTTAAGATGACGCACATAAAGCATTTCTCAATTTATAATCACAAATTTACACAGATAATTACAAATGTACAGTGATTATACTAAAAAGAAACACGAAATATCTCAGTGATTAATTTACTGGCAACACAATGCAGTGCGATGTTTTTCATTTCTTCACTTTTTACTTTTTCTTATTCTGGTTTGTGCATTCCAATGCCTTTTACTTACTCATTTGTCTCTCAAGAACAACAGCAGCAAAAACTGCACAGCGTCGACATCGCTCATCTCACAGAGCAAAGTTTGATAAGCGACTATTGCTGTTGTTTTTTTGCCCCGTCTCTCTCTCTGCTTCTCGTTTTATCATGGTTCTTTTGTGCGCGCACTCAACTGTGACGCTTCAATTTGTTGCTGTTGTGCTGTACACGACATACACACCTACATACATGTGTGCATGGGAGTGTGTGTATTTGGTTACACACACATGAGTATATCTTTATTCATTTCGCCTGATACTTTCAAATATTCCTCACATTTATATTTATCTTAAAATGTGCTGCTTGTTTGTTTTTGTTTGTATGCTCGCTCCTCTTGCTTTCCTCTTTGTATTGTTAACTAACGGCGCCCACGCGAATGTCTGCCATGCGTCTGTTCCATTGAGAATAGATTAAAAAAATCGAACGAGTCAATGCCACATTTAAAATTTTAATTATTATTTAATGTAAATTTGTGAATTTGAATGCAGGCCAGCCACTGAAAAAAGTTAAATGACGCGCTCTGGGAACAGTATTGTTTTGCATGTGTGCATATGTACATATACATAGTACATACATACATACATATGTGTATGACCACTCGGTAGCCTTTAAGTTTCTGACAGTCAGTGGTTAAACTAACGAGCCATGCATCGATCAGCTGTTCTTTGGGCATCGCATATCATTTATAATTGTAGAAATGAAGTCGAAAAATCAATAATCTTATAAAACATTTCAATGGATTTAATACGATAATTGTAAATGATTTGACTACAACAAATTTTGTTTATATATGTGTGTATATATATTTACATACTTAATTTGAAGTCCCCGTGACGATGACAATTCTAATTTTTAATTTAAATTTTCTTTGGATTTATGTGTTCGCTATGCCTGTTTCTGTTTCTGCTTCTGTTAGTATTGAATAGCTAAAATATATATGAAAATATGTACATAGTTCACATTAGACAAAAAGAGAAGGAAACAATAACAAGTATATTCCGGTTATTATGACGTAGATACGATAGAGAAATCGTCAGTTCGATTTGTTTAATTGTAAAATTTATTACAAACACGAAAGCTTGAAACATTTTTTTGTATTAATTTTTTATATATCCATATAGTTGTAATACTTGCACGACTTTATTCGATTAGTATGTGTTTCTGCGAGCCCTTCATTTAATTTGCACCGATAGAATATCAATTTGAGTGAAAAAGTTAATTAGCATTGAAAGTCACATGACAGTGCCAATTAACGCAGGCAGTGACTGTAGCTCTGTCGCTCGCTCACTCTCCTCTCTCTCTCTCTCTCTCTCTCTCTCTCTCTCTCTCTTTTTCGCTCAGCTGTCGCAGCGGCAAATGGCATTAACGTTAACTCTGAAACATACACACGCACACAAAGTCACACACATATATACATACATACTTATAACTTATACTGATGTGCCGTTGTTTTATATTATTTTTCGCCTACCAGCAGTTATTGTATATAACTGTATGTGTGTTTTAATTCGATTTATTGGAGCTTCACGCACACTGTTTTGAAAATGTATTTAACAAATACCATTGACCATTATCATATGAAACTGGTTTCATATTTCAATATTCAGTACATGTACTCACATACTTAAGGTATATACAGACGTATACATGTATGCACATATGTATGCACATGAATATGTATGTATATAACAATCATCAGTTATTTGGAAACTAGCAACTTTGTTCGACCTTATCAAATAAATATAAAGAGAGTAAGCTTAAACACAAATATGAGAGAAGAGAAGAGAGTGTGCGTGTGCACAATAAAAAGAATCGAAGCTAGGCGAAAAAGTCACTCAAACGACATCTCTGACTGTTGAGCAGTTATGTATGTATGTATATGTATTAGCGGACATACGTAAGCGATTTTTGTGAAGTGCGGGTCATGTGACCACAAAATGTTATGTTATTTTACAGAATTTGCTAACGCCAACATGATTTTCGGTGTGGGATCTACATGTGTGTGCGTATGCATGTATTTGAAAGCATGATCGTAATGAACGTAACGTAACGTCAGGCTTACGAGCATAAGCATATCCATTATATAGCGATTCTGATACTCCAATCAGCCAAATGCGCACTCAAGGCTTACCAATGACCTCACTTGAGCAAATTTAGTCGAAATAGACCAGGATTAATTACAGAAGTTCAGGGTTAATTGAGTGTAGTATTTAAACTTAATATAATATTTTTGTATTATTATTATATTTTGTATTATTATTATTATATCATTATTATATTCTTTATTCCCTAGCACTCGGCGCCGCTTATGGCACTGCCAAGTCTGGTACCGGTATTGCTGCCATGTCGGTGATGCGTCCTGAACTGATCATGAAATCCATCATTCCTGTGGTCATGGCGGGTATCATTGCTATTTACGGTCTGGTCGTCGCCGTCCTGATTGCCGGCCAACTCGATGTTCCCCAGAATTATAGCCTGTACAAGTAAGTATTGACCATATCTTATCCGTGGGCAAGTCACGAGCTAATCCCTCACACTCTTTCAATTGAATAGGGGCTTCATTCACCTGGGCGCTGGCCTGTCCGTCGGTTTCTCGGGCATGGCGGCCGGCTTCGCGATCGGCATTGTGGGCGATGCCGGTGTCCGTGGCACGGCACAGCAGCCTCGTCTGTTCGTCGGCATGATCCTGATTCTCATTTTCGCTGAAGTGTTGGGTCTCTACGGCTTGATTGTTGCCATTTACATGTACACGAAATAAATCAATCAATTCAACACACGCCCAACAAGTAGACAAACAGCCCAGCAATCAACAACAACAACATCCGCATCAACAACAACAAGAGCCACTAAAACAACAACTGCAAGTAAATCGTGCATCAAATAATCAAACTACCATCCAGCAATAACAACAAATTTCAACAAATTTTGGTGGCCGTTTGTATATAGCAACAAAAACAAAAAACTAAAAAATAACTGTAAATGAACAGTTGGGCGCCGCCATTGTTGTCACATAAGGATGATGATGATTATGAAGAACATCAACAACAACAACACCATTTATAATCTTGTGTTATTTGCCGTTTTTACTTTGTATACAGGCATAGATATTGATCAATTGCTGGTCCACTGTTTGGTTTAGTTTATTTTTTCCGTTCAAATCAATTTTGCAGTTAAGTTCATAAAGTTGTAATCAAATATCAAATTTGTCTCTTACTCTTTTTCTTTAATCTTTATTATTTTTTTGCGCTTCACAAATCGTGTGCTCTTTGTTATTTGTTTTTTCCATTATTATTATTAAATAATGTTTAGTGTATATGTAAAATTCGTTAACGAACTCTGTAAAGAAAAACCATAACAATTGTAAATTTGCATACAGCTGCAACAACAAATGAAACAAATTTAGCGAAAAGGGCCAAACAACAACAAAAGTTAAATTTAATAAATCACATGTCGATACCAACAACAACAACAGCAGGCAAAAAACCACTAGAAATGGTGGCAATGCTTGCACCGTTGCCACCTCGCGAGACAACTGTGTAAGCGACAACGTTGTTGTTGGCGATAGGAAAAAGACAAACAAACACTACTTGGCAATACTTCAACAACTGCAACAACAACCAACTACATACAATCATAAACACACACGCAACACCACACATGTACCACACACACACACACACACACACACGCATACAAATGTAACTAAGTCCTATGTTTATTTTTAATTATTGTTCAATTCTAAGAATAATATATTAAAAATTAATAATAATAAATTATATATATATATAATTATGATTTTTTTGTGATAAGAAAATACATAAAAAATTGTAATACAAAACAACAATTACGGTATTGATATACATAATATATACACATTATATATATGTAAACGAAAATGATAAACAATTATACATATTAACATGAGAAAGTTGTTATAAACAAAAGCAAAAGCTTTCAAGAACATTATAAAATGGTAAATGAAAGAAAAGAAAAGAAAAGGAAAACAAACGAGTTACACACACCTACACACAATTTTTCCGCTGTTATTGTATAGTAAAGAAAAATATTATATATATATATAAAATATATATTATGTATAAAATATTAACATGAAAATGTAGTAGCAAAATTATAAACAACAAAAGTCGTGCAAGCAAAAGAACTATATATAAACAAACAACCCAGAAAAAAAAAAAACACAAATACGTTACCAACAACAACGTTAAGAAAAATGCAACAAAAAAATTGTAAAATCCCAACAAATTAGAAGTTATGCTAAAAGAAACCTAAACCAACAACAAATCGATTTGTATATTAGTAAATAGCAACAACAATTTGTATATCGTTGACAACAACAACAACAACGTCAGCTGTGTGGCAGGGGGCGTGGCTGCGGTGCGTGCTGCCCCTTGGTCGCCGATGCATTCGTGATGCTGAGAAAGCGGAGGTGACCAACCCGTGCAGATCTCGCGTCGCCCAGCCACGCCCACACACCTGCCCACACTCACTCCTGCGCACAGCCCAAGAGCAACAAAAACAAACGAAAACAAATGCACAAAAAGACAAAAAAAACCGGCAAAGCGAGAAGAGCATTCAAATTTGTAAATTTCGATCTTCGAATCGCACACCACGCCCACTGCGGAAGCGCGGCGTCCGCTCCTCTGAAGTAGCAGCACCCGTGTCGTGTTCTCTTTAGGGAGTAAGGGCGTAGCCTACCTGAGAGGGCGTGCAGCTCTGGCTGCCGCGCGTCAATCTGTACTCATTGCTATTACTATTTACATTCTCCAATAACTGTACATCCACACACAACACATATATACATATACATATACGATCGGTCAGGTTTTTAGAGCAACTATTGTAACTGTGTATTCGAGAAAAACAACATCAACAACAACAGACATTGTATGAAATAAATTGTAATTTCTAATTTCCAAAAAAAAAAAAAACAAATTACTTTTTATTGGGGCAAGAAATGGGTTTGAGTGTCAAACGAAGTCCCCAATCTGTGCCTAGTCTCCAGCTGCGCAGCTCCTTAACACTGAAGTCATTCCGCTAGATCTGACTTTGAAACCTTTGAAAATGGGATATCAGGGTATAATGGTTTTGTGAAAAGTATATATATTCTTGATCAGGACGACGAGTCGATATAGCCCTGTCCGTCCGTCCGTCTGTATGAGTGCGCCGATCTCAGAAGATACAGACGCTAGAGAGCTGAAATTTTGGGTGCATACTCGTGTATACCATACGCAGCACGAGCACTAACCAGACCAGGTTAGTGGTACGAGTTTGCTTGATAATGGAAAAATTGATTTTATATTTTGGCCTCATTTGAACACTATTAGGCCTGGAAACTTTAGACTTACTGTGTATATACATATGATGAATACATTTTGTAATTTACAGATTTTGAATACGCCCCCACACTCCCTTCGCCCACAATTTGTAAAAAAAAGCATCTCAAATGCTAGAGACTTGTGCTTTGGAATGTACATAGATTTGAACATTATGATTACGTTCTGAAAGTTTCATTAAGATTGTATGTCTACAAAAGAAATTATTCAACAAATAAATTCTCACAATATTGCCAACACTGCAGTGCAGCCCAAGCGCAGTCGCTGCTTACTGCGCAGTTAGTATGTGCATGTGTATGTATGTATGTACATATGTGTGCATAAAAGAAGTGCAGAATGATTCGAATATCAGCTTTGAGGGTTCAGGGTATCTCCTAGTCGAGCAGTTTCGACTGGAGCCTTCTTACTTGTTAAACTATAGCGGAAGAATTTGGAAAGAGTGGGAAGCGCAATTACAATTAGATATTCGAAAACCCCTTCTTTTAAGATATATATTTCCATCAAATTTACTATTACTTATAAAAAAAGAACCGAATCGAAAACACAAACTGCATCAGGATCGTATCGAATCTTCTTCTCTTTGCCTTAAGGGATCTTAATTGAGATAGTAATGTTCGATTACCACCTTACCATAGTCGGCTTCAACTCATTGATCTTCCATCGTTAATCAATATTCTTCTACAAAATAATATTGATTTGTCCTCTTTGTTGATGCGTCTTAACTTTTCGGTTCCGTCCCGAACAACTAATTTAATTTACCTGTGTGCACACAGGTTTATGGGTTACGGATTATTTTATTGAATATTACCACTTATGCTATTGCTATTAACTTACCTTAGGGAAATCACTCTCAGTGCCCAGGCATAAGCACTGGTATACAGTTCGTTGACAATGTTGCGTAGTGATTTCTCAATCCTATCCTACGAGCCATTTGATCTCTTCTTTTACTCCCTTTTAAATTATTTCTTACTCATTGTTCTTTCCACTATTCTTGCAATATTTGTAATACTTCCTTTTTGTTTGCTAATTTTTACCTTAGAATTAATATAATTGTTAAACTATATTTAAGCTCGTTTAATATTTTTTTAAGTTTTTATTTTAACAATTCATTTTCATAGTTTCAATAGTATCGCTGACCATACTTGGCTATTAATTGGGGGAATTACTGGCCAAGTATGCTTATAAAATACCCCTATCGGGTTGGTGATACTATTGATACTATTAAATAAAATTAAAAATAAATACAAAATGTTATAAAGGAATATAAAATATCAAGTGAAGAAAGAAGAGCTAACCCACTTTACATTACTTTTATATACCTCAGTATTATTGCATCAAATAACTTGATTTAATCGTAATTTAGCTATTTCGCCATTCGATTGCGAGACAATTTAGCTGAAGTAATGGCATCACTGTTGCTTAACATGAATTACAACTGTGACCCAACAGTTGTTGCTTAATTCTGTTAGTCAGCCAGGGCTTAACATTTTAGTTCATCTGTCCCATCAAGTAGTTATGCAAAGCGGTCTGTTAACTTAACAGTGTGACGTCACGTAATCGGAAATAGCAGAGCGTGTTGCTAAGCACCATTTCACCATTTAAAGTAAAGAAACTTAACTTGTCTATAGTAGTAACTACGTGATATTATTTTCATAATAAGTAAATATTTAGAATCTGTGTGCTTGAAAGATGATGAGAAGCTCTGTTAACTTCTACCCTAAATTTCAAAGGTGATTCAGGCGAACAATCTCTTTAGACTTTTTTTTTCCTCTGATAATTTATTCACTATCCATATTGGGCATACTATTGCTGCTGCTGAGCTATAGAACTATCTAATTAGTATTTGACTCTAAAGAATATAGCAAAGCAGGCTTCAGAGGCTGATGTGCTCATATTGGGAAAACTAATATAATAATAATAATTAAAAATATATATATATATATCACAGATCTAAAACTTACCTTCAATAATGAAATGCTTGTTACCGTTAAATAAAAACACTCCTTTTGGATTTCGTTTTCAGTATTTTCTTGCCTTTATACATATATATTTGTTCTGCTCTTTTCTCAGCGTTTACATGGTTTCCCTTTACTGTTTACTGTCGGTTCCAATTGTATAAACTAAGTTTCGTGTATATGTAGAGTTAATACAATATATATAGGATATATATAATTTTTTTATGTATATATCTATATAATCTTGATGTATAAAATGTTCTTTTGATTACATTAGTCGGAACTGAATGTGGAATCAAAATACGTGTTTCTTTTTTTTTTTTTTTATTTTTTATCTGCTTGGCGAGCTCTAAAATTATTCATAAGTTCGGAAAACACGACGCAGAAATTTTCCAATTGCTTTGCTAATTCCTAATGGATTCGTATTGAGTTTAAGTAATGCTCGATTTTAAATTTATTAAAGCGGTTTGCATTAATTGTAATTCAATATTTAATATAGTTGTATTCCTTGTATATCTTCGTAAACTATTTACAAAACGAACTGGCGTTAAGAAGGCTAAGGCTATTTGGATTTCGACAGATTCTGGAAGATCTTGAACCGAAGTTCCGATGAAATGATATATGGGCAATCGAAAAATAGTTGAGGAAATCGAAGAAATTGTAGAAGGGCAGCTTAGGTATGCAAAGGAATTGCGCTTACGTAATATTAGCAAAATATTCCATTCTTTAACCTAGATGTTTACGTTTAAGTTTATTTGTTTTAAACTTTATTTCTCTTTTTTTCTTTTCGTTTTATTCTGTTTTGTGTTGTTTGTTGTTGTTGCTTTGTATACTTTCCCTTGTTCGGCTGAATTTGACGACAGCTAACCATATATTAAATATAGTGTCTATCCTTAAGGTTCTTTAGAAAACTTGTCTCGAAAAATTCCTATTTACTTTGTATTTTTTCTTTTTTCTTTTTTGCAAAAATCTGAGGTAGTTTTATATATATATATATCTGATTCTATACATACATATATATATATACCTATATATGCTCTCTTCATTTTGAATTTTCTCTCATATTTGTTTTGTTTTTGTGGTTTCTCTGTTGTCGTGGTACAAAATATCGAAGAATCTTATGTTAGGCAATCCCAAAAATATCTGTTTGAACTCCGAACCTACATAGGCGATTGTTAAAAGTTATTGCTTTCATTTGTATATAAATCCCCATATACCTATATATATATATATACATATATATATAGAGAGAGAGATAGAAATATATATACATAGCTATATAGCCTATATCATTTACAAAATGCAACTCTTGCCTCATTCTCATTTAAAACTGATCAAAAATAACTAGAAATTAGAAAGTATTCTAATACCATAAGTGTAATGCGTTAACCACGCGATATATCTACATATGTATATCGATCGATATATATATATGTATATATATATATTGCGTATGAGATATAGTACATATGTGTGTGTGTGTTTTTTTTATAGTTCTTGTATACAATTCTTAATTCGTAGGCTTAAGTACTCGATTTAGGGGCAGGGACTCTAGCTAACCAAGCATTACTAAGTCTTGAGTATAGGCTACAGTACGCACACCGATCTAGATATAGATGTTATATATATTGTTAATATATATATATATATATATATTAATTATACTTTATTGGGAGTTTATGCTTTATTATTGTTATTGCAACATACGAAAAAGCTTTGTGCGAAATCAGATTTACGAAATCCTCTCGGTATATATGTATATATCTGTAAATTTACTTTATTTATAGATTTATCAGTCGATCTTAAACTGTTCTTTTGTTGTTGTATTCATTTCGCTTTGGCAGTGTTGAGTACTTCATAGGGTATTCCTCGCATTAACCTTATATATTTTAAATGATTTATTGTTAAGGCGAACTCTGCTCGAACCTGACCTCTGACCTTTGATCTTAGACCTTGAACCCTAGACAAGTGACTGTTGGCATATTAGATAAATGATAAGAAATAAATAAATAAAAATTGCAAATTAAACAAAAAAGTGAACACAATAAATGTTTTTATTGTTTGTTGTTTTTCTTTTCTAAATTATGTTTGTTTAAGTGTAATTAATTATTTTTTAAATATTTACATACGAGTTTCCTAATCAAAATTTGGACTACATTCATTTGTTTAAGATATTTTTCTTGTTTGCTTTTCATCTTTGCTCTGGCTGCTTGCTAAAAAAACCTAAAAATCTGTTTTTGCATTGCTGTTCGAATTGAGTAATTTGTTTAATTAATTACATAGTTTTAGAATAAATTTTGTTTTGTTTTTCTAGCGGTAAATGCTTCAAGTCTTATTCTTGTTTGTTGTTTGTGCGTATTCTCTCTACTTTTGGAAGTATTTTCGAATACTACGAAACGATCAAGCTAACGAATACAAAATAGAACGAAACGAAAACTAAACACGTCTAGGCCTAGAGTACATTAAATTATAATGAATATGATAATGGGAGAAACAAGTCTTGTCTGCGGCGGTGTTAAACTCTTCTTCTTCTTCTTCTTCTTTTCCTACTTTGCTCCTTCGCTCGGGCAGTTCACAATTTACATAAAGTAGTTACAAATTAAAAATAAACACTAATTAAGTTTACGCCTAATGTATAATTATTATTTATGCTTGTCTTTAGCAAAACAAAAATAAAATAATCAAAAACTATATAATTTGTTCACGCGTTTTTATGTGTCACGTGTTTTATGATATTGAAGCGATTTTTATATACAATTGATGTGGTTCGGCATTATTATCGACGAACTGCGAGCACGATCTGCTCCCTCTCTTTTTCTATATATATATGTTCGCATATAGCTATATTCAAGAGTTATCTTATAGTGTGCATGTGTGTGTGGGGGTGTATGAAGTTTTTGGGTTTTGTTGCTGTGTGGGTGGCCTTAGATAAGAATGAAACTAAAATCTACTTGTCACTGTTTACTCGTTTGTCCTTTGGGGGCACATTTGTTGTTGTGGAGGGGGGTGGGGGTGGTTTAATTACTTAGCGAATACTCTCTAGATGGGCACCAGCGCATCAGTCGGCACTATTTTCGGCGCTGCCTTGGGCGGCTTGCGCGGATGCTTGCAGCGCTGTTGCATTTGCAGTTTGGCTATGCTGAGCACGTGCTGGTAGCTGGAGACGGTGCCGCTGCTGGAGCTGATTGTGCCCGATACACCGTCGTCCTCGTCCTCGTCCTCTTCCTCGTCCTCGTCGTCGTCATCATCTTCATCTTCCTCTTCGTCTTCTTCGTCCTCATCGTTCTCTCCGTCTCCTTCGTCCTCCTCGCTGTCCGCACAGTCGCTGCCGCTTGCCTCCTCCTGCTGCTCCTCCTCCATCCGTTGCTGCTGCTGCTGCTGGCGCACCTCGCTCACGGTGTAATCATCGGCAAAGAGCTGCGCGTCGTAGCGCAGTCTGTAGGCGGTGCTCAGCAGGCTGTCGATGCGCGTCTTCTCCGCCGGACGCATGTGCTTAATCTGCAGCACCTTCGAGTGCTGCCGCGTTCCGTTCGGGCACTCGGGCATCCACTCATCCGAGATGCTGCATCAAGATACATATCATTAGTTATTCGATTTCTTATTCGATTCGGCTTCACTTACATTTCGCGTGGGGACCACCGCACGAAGCACTCGCTGAAGCCTTGCCGATTCCGACGCCTCATCAGGCACTGGCCCTGGAACGTGATGGCCTGGGTTCCATTCGTCAGCGTGCTGATCTGGCGCAGGCGATGCTGCAGTCCCTCCATGATGCCCGTGTCGAAGAAGTCAAACATGCGAGCTGTACGATGGTATAGAGGGGGCAAACATTACATATCTTATAAATCAAACAAGTAAGACAGCTCTAGTGGGGGTGCCCGACTAGCAGATGCCCTGGACCGCGTTCGGTTTGCGTTGAATATACTCCATAGCTTTAACCTTTAACCTTGCATAAGCCTATACAAAACTCATTTGAGCCAATGACTGTGTCCTCTCAAAATGCCTCACCTCTACTGACACCGTCTCCTCATATTTGTAATAAGAATACCGCAATCACGCAATCGAAGGACGACATCTGAACTACCATCGCCGTCACTCGAACTTGAACCCAAGACAACATATGTATTCCCCAAAATGGATCACCTCTACTGACACCGTCACTTCATATCATCAAGTGGAAGAACAGCAATCAGACGACGCCATCTGCTTTATCTACTTTTACAATATCTTCTCCTTTTCTACCAACACCGTCCCTCTCTGAAGTGGGAGCTGATCATTGAATAGCAATGGACCATTTCTTGTGCTTTACCAAATAGATTTTAATAAAATGTTTAGCACATAGTCTAAATATTAGATTGGATTTGGGAACTCTGAAATTATTTCATCGATTTGCTAGCTCTCAAAGGTTTTTGGGCGGATGCACAAGATGGACAGTGTTAAGTAGACTAAGTTCGTTGCCCTGATATACATATATACGTTCTGGTATCAGCCTCCTTCTGTTACATTTCAAATAAGTCGAGCATGGCCAAACAGATACCCCGATATATAGAGGTCCTTACCTGAGAAGGGCTGTCGGCGGTATCGCAGCTTCTTGCCGTTCTTGCGCAGCTGCTTGGGCACGGGCGGGTCGGAGGTGCGCTTGCTGGTGCTCTCCTTGGCGTTGTCCGAGGCGTTGAAGTGGTTGTTCACGTGCTTCTGCAGGGCGAGCTGGGGGACGAAAGGAGACACAAGTTAGCAATCGCATGCCCTCGGGCGCCCATCTGCTTCAGTTTGGGTCGTCACTTACCTGTGAGCCAAAACGCAGGCCGCAGCCCTCGACGATGCACTTGAATTGCTTTGAGCCGCCGTGCGAGAGCACGTGGCGCTCCAGCCAGCGGCGGGAGCAGGACTCCTTGTTGTACACCTTGCAGCCCACCCAGAGGCAGGCGAAGGGACCCGTCTGCGTGTTGACATGATGCGTCTGCATGTGGTCCAGGAGCTTCGAGTTGCTCTCGTGCTTCTTGTTGCACTTGTCCCAGTAGCAGACGCCGTCATGCCGCTTCGCCCCCTTGCCGCCTGCTCCGGCGCCGGCCGGAAAGCGGATCGTCTTGGGCTGCGACAGAATCGGCGAAATGGCGCACTTGGGCAACACTTTGCTGGCGCTCTCCGCCAGCGTGGTATCCACCATAGGCGAGGCCGTGGAGCAGTCGTCAATGCTGTTGCTGTTGCTGTTGCTGCCGGGCGAGGCGGGGGAGGGCGCATTGCTGGCCAGCGAGTTGCTGTCGGAGGCGTTGCAGCTGTTGCTGCTGGCCGACGTCGGCGGACAGACGGACTTTGAAGAACTGCAGTGAGAGAGAGAGAGAGAGAGAAGCGTGATTGAGTAAGTAAGAGGAGGAGACAGAGTGACTGTGGATGGCTTACATGGCATCCGCAATGGAGTTGCTGCTTTCGCTGTTGCTGAGGCTGCCGCCTATTCCGGACTCGGGCGTGAGCCGCTTGTGCGTGGCCGTCTCCGATGAAGCCACCGACTTGTCGTCCTCCTCGTCATAGTTGCTGCTGCTGCTGCTGCTGCTGACAGCAGTGACCCCCGATGCTGTTGCTGCTGGTGGCACAGCCATTGCTGGCGCAGCGGCCTGCGAGCAGTCCTCCGTGCCACTGGAGTTGCAGGAGGACGTGACCAGCTCGCTCAGCATGTCCTGCTGGCTGGCGTTGCCCTCCGGCGAGCACATCTGCTGCGTCTGGCTGCTGCTGCTGTTGCTGGCGGCCGGCGAGGGCGCCGAGCTGAGCGACGCCGGCGTCGAGGCCTCCAGCGAGAGATCCGCCGCGCTGCTCACCGAGTTGCTGCCGGTGTAGCTGCTGCTGCAGTTCGAGTTGCACTCGGCGGCCAGCAGCTCGTGCTTGGAGGGCTCTGCGCGCCGCCCGCTCGCCAGCTGCAGCTGTCCGGCGAAGCTCTGCGGCTTGGGCGTGCTCGACAGGGGGGGCGTGGCCGACTCCTCCATGGGCTCCGCCTTGATGGCCACCAGCGACTTGCCGAAGGCCGACAGTGTGCTCGACGAGTGGGCGGAGAGGGCAGGAGAGGCGCGTGCCGATTGCTGCGAGTTGCTGTTGCTGTTGCTGCTGGGCGAACTGAAGGGCAGCGGTGTTAGTGTGCTGGGGGCAGGTGTGGGCGTGGCACTCTTGCCCAGAATACTAATGGCGCCATTGGAGTTCTTGACCAGGTCAAAGAGATCAGCGCTGCTCGAGATCTTGGCAATGGTTGCTGTTGCTGGCGGCAACTGTTGCTGCTGCTGTTGCGGCTGCTGCTTGGCTATGCTGAGCGTCGGCGTCAGCTTGGCGGGCGCAATGCTCACCAGTGGCGGCGTGGGCGTAATTGTGGGCGTGGCACATCTACGCAATTGCTGCAGTTCCTTAGCGGCAGCAGCAGCAACAGCGCCAGCGCTGGTTGGCACTAGAGGCGGTGGCGTGGTGGGCGTGGCAATGGCTGTGTACTTGGCTTTGCTAAGTGGCAACTGTTGCTGCTGCTGCTGTTGCTGTGGCGGCAGCTGTTGCTGCTGTGCGCGCTTCTGATAGGGCTTCGCCAGGGCAGCGGGCAGGGATCGCGACTTGGCGGGGGAGGCGTTCGAGATGGTAACCAAAGGAGGCGGACCCTTGCTGATGGCACGTTGTTGTTGCTGTTGTTGCTGGGCAGTGTTGCTTACAGTATTCGAGGCATTGCTGCTGGCAGTGTTACTGTTGCTGTTGTTGCTGTTGTTGCTGCTGTTGCTGCTGCTACTGCTGTTGGCAGCAGTCAATGGAGGTGGCTGTGTGGCAGTGATAAGTTGTTGCTGTTGTTGTTGTTGCTGCTGCTGCTGTTGCTGCTGATGAGAGAGCAACAGCTGGGCCAGCTGCTGCTGCTGTTGCTGCAGCTGCAACTGTTGCTGCTGCTCGCTGGCAGGCTCAAATATGGAACTCAAGGCGGGAATGGGCTGCAGCGCAGGCAGCGCATGGTTAGGATGTTGCTGCTGATGTTGCAGTGCGACTGCAGCAGCTACTTTCTGCTGCTGTTGTTGCTGCTGGTTGTTGGCTGCAATTGCGGCTGCAGCCTGAGCCAGCATTGTGGGCAGCGTGGCAGCATTCAGCAGGAGCCCTGCTGGCGTCGCCATGAAAACGGGCTGCGCTGCTGCTGCGGCGCCCAAGCGCTGAAAGTGTTGCTGCTGCTGCTGTTGATGGTGTTGCTGCTGCTGTTGCTGCTGCTGCTGCTGTGCGGCGAGAGCTGCTGCAATTTGCTGCTGGAACAATTCCTGCAAATTGGATGCCCCATTGACGGTTGTGGGCGTGGCAGCCACCGCTGCAGCAGCCGCTTTAACAGCCGCCGCCTGCTGCAACTGCAACTGTTGCTGCTGCTGCTGCTGCTGCTTCAGCAACAGCTCCTGCAGCTCGTTCAGCCCGAAGGGATTCGCGCTGGCTGCTGCTGCCGTCGCCGTTGTCGCCGTCGTCGTCGTCGCCGTCGTCACCTGCTGCAGCTTGAAGACGGTCCCGTTGAGGAAATACTGCGCTGCCTGCGCCGCTTGCGCCGAGGCGGCTGCTGCTGCGGCATTGTTGCTGGCGGCGGCGGCAACCGCTGCCTTGGCCACGTTGTTCAGCTGCATGATGTTGGCGGCGGCCGCAAGCTGCGGCGGCAGATGCACCAAGTTCGGAAGCTGCACCGGCAGCTGGTAGAGCGTTGGGTTAGGAGTGGGCGTGGCAGCTGCAGTAGCAGCCAGTTGCAGCTTCTGGCAGGGTTTGGCAGCGACTGTTGTTGATGTGTTGTTGGTGCTGCCATTGCTGCTGCTATTGTTGCTATGGGGTGCGCGGTATCCTGCTGCTGGGAGCAGTGTCTTTGATGTCTGCAACTGCAACTGTTGCTGCTGCTGCTGCTTCATCTCGGGCGTGCGCGGCGCTATGGCCACGTGCTTCTTGGCGGGCGATTTGCCAGTGCCCGCGTGGGCGTTGCCGGCGTGTGCATTGTGGGCGTGGCTGTGGCTGTGCGCTTGGCTGCTGCTGCTGGGCGTCTTGCGCAAATTGGGCGCCACCTGAGCAATCTTGGCGGGCTGCTTGCTGCTGCGCTCAATCTTCTTGAGCGCCGGCACCGGCAACACGGCAGCAGTACCCGCAGCAGCAGCAGCGACTGTTGGCGTTAGCTTGGGCTGCAACTGTTGTTGTGGCTGTTGTTGTTGCTGCTGCTGCTGCTGTTGCTGCTGCTGCTGTTGCTGCTGTTGTTGCTGCTGCTTCTGCTCATTCAGCTGCGAGAGGATGTTAAAGTATTTGTTGAGCGAGGCCGTTGTTGCTGGTGTGCTCATTGTCAGCGTGTTGGGCGTGGCAGCTGCTGATGCTGTTGCCGCCGTAGCTGGGGGCGGCGAGGGCGTCGCTGACAACTTGCCCGACGTCGCCTTCATCTGTGACTTGAAGAATCCCGTGATCTTCGTCTGCGACTCCTCCAAGGCAGCTGCCTTCAGTCTTTTCTCGCTGTTGCTGGTGCTAGTGTTGCTGCTGCTGCTGTGGGTGTTGCTCGGGGCATCTACGCGTGACTTCTTCAGACCAGTGGCCTCGTTACTACTGCTGTTGTGGCTGCTGCTGCTGACTGCGGCGCGCTTCTTGGAGGCTGCCGCAGCAGGAACCGCCGTCGAGGTGCTGCCGAGGCTCGTGTTCCATGGCCATTGCAGCGTGGGCAGCGTCGTATTGCCGTTACCGTTGCCGTTGCGTTGGGTGATTGCTGTTGCAGTTGCAGATGGAGTCGCATTTGTCGCTGTTGTGATTTTGGCAGTGTTGCTGTTGCTTCTGGTTGCATTCGCTGTGATTGTTGCTGCTGCAGCGGCTGTTGCTGCAGAGCTGCTGCTGTTGCTGGAGTTGCTGTTGCTGCTGGACGCAGCGCTGAGTATTTGTGGGGGCATTTTGTGTAGCTGCTGCTCGTCGCTCAGTAGCGAGTGCGCACTGTACGGGGAGCCAGGCTCGGACGCATCCTCACTGGATCCTGTGCTGGAGTCGGCGCAACTGAGGGAGGTGGCAACGCCGCTGCAACGAAAAAAGGAAGCAAAAGCAGAAGCAGAGGCAAATGCAAATGCAATGCAATTGCATCGGATAGGAGTTAAAAAAATGCAAACACAATAATACAAAATGTAAGTAAGTTAATTTCAGCCACACCTTTGGGCAGCAAGACGCGCGTTTGCTGCTGCTGCTGCCCCACAGGTGCAGCAATTGAGTTTTATCTGGAACGCGAGTGCTTTAATTCATCTTAGCTGTATTTTTTTCACAAGCGCAAACATAACAAACACAATAACAATTCGCTTGAGTTTTTTTCTATGCAGCTTTAGTTTTTTTATTTATTTTTATGATTGCTGTTAGCTGACATTGCGCGCATCACTAGCACGCTGTTACGCTCGTTCACAGTGAAAACGCAACAGCTGTATAATTTCCCAAACAATCGAAAATGGCAGGCAGAGTGGGCTAGCAAAAGCTGACTGCTATGGCCTGATGGTCAGCAAATGGCGGTCACATTCGAAATGTGAAATATACATGAAATGTTAACACTGACACTATACATATTTATAGTACTTCTATACATTAGCGAAGAATTTACATAAAACGCATATCTACATATGTTATAATTCATAAACGAACTAACCAAAGTCCTGCGTGCCTTTTAAAGGTTGATACTTTAGGAAAACAACAGCCAGCAAGATGCGAGAGAGAGAGAGATAAATACACAAGCATGCAATCTGCGATTATGGTGCTGCTGCTGCCTGATGCCTCTGCTTCAGCTGATGAGAACGCCGAACGCGAACGAACGAGCGAGCAACCGAACGAATAAAAGACCGAAAGAGCGAAAGAAACGCATATGTAGCACACAAAAACACACAAAACCAAAAACGGGTCGATAAACGAAAGCATAAGGTAAACAAAAAAAAAATAATACCACACGTACACATACACAGAGGCAACAGCAAAGGCAGGCACAGACAGCGTGTAGCGCACGAAGCAGCAGACGAAAAGGAACAAAAATAAATTCAACTCCCATTCCTTGCCCTTTTGCCAGCGTGTTTTGTTGTTCTTGTGTTTATTGTTTCTTTACTTCTCTCTGTGTATTCGCCTGTCCCGCTGGTTGTCTGTCGACGTTGCCCGCGTGCAACATAACGAATCAACAACAACAGCAGCAACAACAAAAAGTTGGAACGCGAGCATTCTAATGCGGGAAAATTTCAGTTTCAGGTAGCAGAGGCGCAGGCAAACAATCCGAGTGCCGTTTTATGCTGCTGGAAGGGGAAACGAAATGGGAAGTGGACTGCACGTAGGCAGCGTCTTTGCTGTTGCTGTTGTTGTGACCCCCCTAAGCCCGCGTTTGATGTTTGCTTGAAATTCTTGTTTCTTTTTTTTTAATACTTTTTATGTGTGCATATTTAACAAAATTAATAAAAAGCGTTGAGCGTGAGCCTTCTTCACACACTCCACACATGCAATCACATTAACATATGCACTTGCGCTGCCTTCTTTTACAGCTCGTCGTACTATGTTATTTTTTATCTGTATATTTTTTCATTTGCTTTGCTATCTTTCTATTTTGTATGCAGCCGCTGTGGTTGTCAATGCTGATTGCACCTGATTCAATTTTGGTTTTTACAGTATTTATGAGAGTTTTGAGTTTTAGTACTTTATTTTACTCTGTCTGTGGCTCAAGAATTTAGATTGACGACGCCGACAGCAACAGCGACAGCGGCTTCGGCATCGGCGTCAGTGCTGGTATTTCACCTGCTCCCGCTGCCTAAACCTAAGCCTTAGCCTCAGTCACTGCTTCTGTCGGTTGCGCCGCCAGCATTCCTGTTAAACGCATCGTTAAAAGTTGGGCTTTGTTAAGTTGCCGTCGCTCTTGCTGTTGCGTTGATGGGCTTGGGATGGGTCTGTGATGAGTTTTCTGTTAATGCTCAGATACCAAGCACACTTGTAAACAAAGATGACATGTCTGTAAATAGTACGCACACATACGAAAAATCAGATTGATGTCACTTAAAAACGCATAATACTTTGAATGGATTAAAGGTTGTTTACCTCTTGAGCAGGTTATCTTGCAACTCATTTCAAAGAACTAGGAAGCTTCCGTCTGTATAAGATTAATACTCGACTGGACTGAATACTTTATATCCCAACTGGACTCTGTTTAAGAGGAGTACGTTGTCCTGCTAAACATCACGGGTTTGAAAGTCTAAATACATACATACATATGTATCTGATAGTAAATACATATGTCTGTCTTGTACTCTCATGTATGTACATATACATATGTACGTATGTTTACTTTACTCACGTATCTTCAATAATATTTGGAAATATTTGCTTAATGGATGTAATCAGGTCTTTAAGGATTTAAGGATTTCTCACGATTTGATTTCTCTGTAATATTTTCGCCATTGTCTGAATCGATCGTTATATTTTTATTTTTATGTGATTTATTTAATTTCCTTTCTAAATTTTTAAAATTTGTTCTAATTCTGCAAATGGAGGTTTAATTGAAATTCACTTGGGTTTTGCATTTTTAGAATGCAGTTCTATTTTATATATAGTAGTTAAAGTTAATTGTAACAATGTATTTCTCCTTCCCAATATTAATGTTTTATTTTTCACGTCGTTTACATATAAAAGTTTGTTGTATCAACATTTAATTGTAAAACTTAAATTTTGTAATTTGAGTTTCCCAAGTACTTAGATTTATTTCTCAACAGTATGTTTAATGAAATTAATCAATTTATTGTACGGTGTTTCTCGTATTATTGTAGAATAATATTCTTTATTTATTCCACATTTTAAAACACTTATTGATTTATTTGCGTTTGCCTTAAAACATTTCCATTTATTCACATGTGAATTTTATGTTTCACCGACGGCATTTCATCTGTGAACATTTTCCCGTTTTTTTTTTTTTCGTTCATAAGTCTGGTTTATGCCTTTACAGGATATTTAGATTTCATATCCATTTCTGTTGGTAGCATGCTTAGACTGAGATACTTCCCAACCTGCTGGAAAATGGCGTTGATCACGATGGTACCCAAACCTGGAAAAAACCACACGGAAGTTGAGGGATTCCGTCCAATCAGCTTACTTTCGGCGCTAGGGAAGATGGCAGAGAGAGTGATCCTGGATCGTATCATAAAGCTCGAGCCTGTAAAGCAAAAAATACCGAATTGGCAGTTCGGATTTAGACAAGGGCACGGCACGCCGGAACAACTTCATCGCGTAGTCAACTTCTCCCTCGACGCTATGGAACAAAAAATGTATGCGGCTGCTGTTTTTATGGACATCCGACAAGCTTTTGACAGAGTGTGGCACGATGGTCTCCGATTTAAACTGAAGAACATATTACCACCGCAGCTATTCCAGCTTGTCTCAAGCTTCCTCACGGACAGGTACTTTAGAGTCGTTGTGAGTGGAGAAAAGTCCTCGAAACGCTCAGTTTGCGCAGGTGTCCCACAGGGTAGCGTGCTTGGACCCACGCTATACAACCTATACACAGCTGACATGCCAACCACAAATGTAGTTACTGGACTAGATGAGGAACACGTCCTGATAGCAACCTACGCAGATGACACTGCAGTTTTGACCAGAAGTCCTAGCATCAACATAGCCACGGAATCCTTGCAGCAGTA